CCCATCCACCCTCACACATCCACGCCCCCCCCCCACACAACCATGCCCCACAAGCAAGTGCGTGTGCGCACCTGTCCTCGAGCTCTGGCCTGTGGTACAGCTCCGGCGCCAGGGGCCAGAAGTGCTCCACAAAGTCCGGGAACGGCCGCTTGCTGGGGAACCCCGCGCACGAGATGCGCACCGCCTCCAGCACGCCGCCGCAGCGCAGCTGGTGCAGCGCGTTGGCGTTCTCGAAGCTGCGAACAGGGATCACGACGCGAAAACCCAAAGGTGAGGGGAGGGGCATATGTCAGTCACTCGACGCCTGGGCATGTACTTGTCCGCAAGCCTGCGTTAGACCGCGGGCGTTTCACCGTCCGCTGCGCAGGGACAGAGGGCACAGCGCAGCCCCGTGCGGGGGCTCACAGCGCGGGCTTGTTGCCGCTGTTGGGCTTGATGCAGCGGATGTAGTGCGGCTCCATGCGGCCCAGCTGCGCCATGAGCTCCCCCAGCTGGCGCTTGAACTGGGAGCCCACGCTGTTGAACTTGAACGCTGCGAAACGCTTGTTGGGGCCGCCGGCAGAGTTGCCCTCCGACAGGGATTCCTGCAGGTTGGCGAGCGTGAGTGTGCTGTTGTGTGTGAGGCATGGCTTGACGGTCCTGCCCTCCACTACCAGCCATGGAAGTCGCTTATTGAGCATCAGTCCCAACACCACCTTGGTAGAACTTCACTCTCTCAATCTCGCGCGCATACACACACACACACACACACAAACACACGCATACACACACACACAAAGACGCACTCACCCAAAACGCACGCGCGCATGCACACACGTGCGCGCCCCCATACAAACCTGCTCCGCAGGGAAGAGCTCCTGCACGAACGGCTTGGAGCTGGCCTGCAGCAGCGTCTGGTGCTCCGCCACCACAAAGTCCTTGTTCTTGTCCAGGAAGTTGTCCGACTGGTACACCACGGGGCCTGGCCAGGGTGCGCCATGAAGCGGTGGATTGGGGTGATGGTGTGAGTGCGCAAGCCACAGGGGATGATCAGATCGATGTTTCCTTGTCTTGCCACAGAGCCAAGGAGGCTCATCACCGTGCGAGGTGCAGTGGCCCCGAATCCCTCAGCCCTTGCCCTGTCGCACGCAGGTCCCGTTGATCGCAGCCCCCGCACCCGCGTAGTGCTCGATGGTGAACGCGGTCTGGGTGAGCTTGGGGCGCTTAAAGCGCGCGCTGCCCTGGCAGACGCCGCTGGCGTAGAGCTTCTCGGCCAGGTCCTTGTTGGTCGAGGTGGGGAACCTGGTTTGAATAGGAAGGTTGAGCCAAAGTCGGAGCTAAGGCGCAAACATCAACATGAACAAGAGCCGATTTCATCCTATCATGAGCCAGCAAGGCATCCACTAGGCCACACTGCTGCAGCGTCGTCGGTCGGCCACCCTGCTGCCATCGCAAGCCGAACGATGCAAGGTCGGTCCTGGATTATCACAACCCTTGTGTAAAGTGCGGCCCCTCAAACCTGCACTGCTCGTCCAGCAGGTCCAGGATGCCCATCTTGCCCTCAATCAGGTCCAGCACGTCCTGGTTGTCCACAAACTCAATGTAGGACCAGTCAATCTTCTCGCGCTCATACTCAGCCTGGGGAGGGCGGGCGGGACGCCGGGCGTGTACTGCTTTCAGGAGTGCTTTGCCATAATGAGGGCTGGCGCAGGGCATCTGCTCTTGGCTTTGGCTTGGCCAGTGCTCATCAATCAGTCCAGCCCACGAGCGGTGCAGGTCGTCCGACCACAGCCTTTTGCCGGAACGCAGCAGCCCCTAAAACCAGCCCCACCTGCTCCTGCTTGAACACGTGGTGGTTGAAGTGCTGCTGCAGCTTCTCATTGGCCAGGTTGATGCAGAACTGCTCCAGGTCGTTGTACTCAAAAGATTCAAAGCCGTAGATGTCCAGCACACCCACGCTGGCCGCACAGTTCTGCGTTGAGGCAGTGGATTGTAGAGGTCGGAAGTCAGACAGGCCGAGGCCAGGATGCACGGGCAGCTTACGAGGATGCAACCGTCAAGGGGGGGAGCAAACAGGCAGGGGTGGTGGCACGGACAGAGATGGGCTCTAGCGGATGGGCTAGAGCGCCTTGAACTCGTCCCTGGCGCCGGCGGCTGCTGAGTGGGCCCTTGGGGCCAGGCAGGGGCGCCATACCTTGTCCTCTCCAATGGCGTTGTTGATGGCAGTGACCAAGAAGTCGAACATCTTGGAATAGATGACCTGGCATGTTTCACGCGGCAGAAGGACAGACAGGGGAAGATTGGATCAGGTGCAGATGACAGGCATGGGCTATGACAGTCCATCGCAGACAGTTCAAGCCAACTCAAAGCTGCCACCAGCCCCTAACATTCAACATGCATCAACGTGGAAAACCTATGCAGCGCCTGCAGCGCAGTCAAGCCCCCCTTACGGCTGCGGCGCACCTTGGCGAGGGAGTCCCGGTTCTCAGTGGCGGCCCGCACGTTGAGCGGGCTGATAATCGGGCCCTCAGGCGTCTGGCGCGTGCGCGTCGTCAGCGCGTGCGCCAGGCCGTCTCGAGACACGCCAAGCAGGTCGGCTGCGGGCAGCGGAAGGGCGGACGGCAGGGGCCGCAGGCAGCAACCGTGAGCGGCCTGCCGCTTGGGGTCAAATTAACCACCATTGTCGCTCCTTGGCCCGTCTACCATGCCCCAGCAATGCGCAAGATACCTGAGGCCCTCCGTCAGCCGCTTGCGGCCACCCAGGGGCGCGTTTCCTCTCCGCGCCCTCGGCCCACCACCCCATCTCTCCCTCTGCGCTTCATTGCCTCACCCGCCGCCGCCAGCGCCTCCTCCGCGGCGCCGCCGGGCTTCACCATGCTGCTGTCGGCGTCCCTGCCCTCCGCAAACGCCACGTTGCCCAGGTGCAGCACCGCTGCGGTGCAGGCCAGGATCGCCTCCCGCTGGTCCGCGGGTATGCCGACCTTCGCCATGGCCGTCACGGTGCGCTGCGGGGTCGCCGAAAGCCAAAGTACATAAAAGGGTGCATGTGAGCCTCTAATGTCAAGTGGCTATGTGGCGAGGCCCGAATTGTGGTCTCTGCAGGGCACGTCGTGGCTGCGCCACTGCGCCGCCACATCAGCAAAATGTCCCGGCCCCCAGCAAGCCAGGCGGCGCCGCACAACACCAAACCGGAACGGCGGCACCAGCCGTACCTGAGGCCGTCCGCAGCGTGTGAACTACGCACCTCGTACTCCTCGGCATTGCTGTCCCCAGGGATCTCGAAGCAGGTGCTCTGGTTGAGGTAGTGGTACTGCGCTGCCGGCTTCAGCCGCCACCGCCGCCGCTCCTCAGGGCTCGCGCCATCGCACAGCTGCGCAGAAGCAGGTCAAGAAGGACACCGGCAAGGAGGGCAGACACGGCGTCACCACCCCGGTCCAATCTGACATACGCCCCTGGCCGGGCTCGGATCCACTCGACGAAATCCCGCTAGCGCCACAGTGTGGCGAACTTTAGTTGCAGGTCGCGGCTGATCGGTCGCAGCTGACCGTGACGGGGGCCAATAGACAGCAGGTGCACAACGTATGACGGTGCATCCGGGGCCCCCTCCAGCACCGACTCGTCTCAGGGCCCTGCGAGAGCGCGCCCGCCGCCCCCCCCCCCACCTGGTAAAATATGTGGTAGGAGCGCTCCGGGTTGTTGACCGCCACCACGCGCGACCGCTCCAGCAGGTAGGTGCGGATGGCCGCGCCAGTGATGGCGCCTGCCTTGTTGAAGTTGATCTCCACGTACTTGCCAAACCTTGCGGGGGGTGGAGGCGTGCGGGCGGGCACGCGTCAATGCCTTGGGTGCTGTGACGACCCTGACTTGTGGCCATCCCAATCCTTATCCTTTTTAGCTGCAAGCCCCCCGGGGCGCGCCGTGGCGTCCCCTCTTGGCACCGCAGCGCCAAACTCTGGCTGCGGCGGCCGCCGAGCCGTTGCGGGAAAACACATAACAGCAGCACACAACGCCCTTCGTCCCAAGTTCTTTCTTCTCATGCTTGCGACCTATGCTGCAGTGCAAACCCCGGCCGCTGCACCTGGAGGAGTTGTTGTTGCGCACGGTCTTGGCGTTACCAAAGGCCTCCAGCAGCGGGTTGCTCTCCAGCACCTGCTCCTCCACGCTCCTGCGCGGCGCAGATGGTCAAGACCGTGCAGCGCGTGCGCCGCCGCATGTTCAAGGCTGCTTCCCAGCGCTCGACCGCCGCTGCTTTTGCCATCTCCCGACCACCTCATCTGCTCCATTTGCTGCACTTTCGCAACCAGCAGCGGCAGCGCATATATTTGCCCTCAGGTCTGCGCGGCTTCTTTGCTCCCTCCGCCCCTGCGCCCCTCAACCCCTGCCCCCCCCGCCACCTGGTCCGCTGCCCACACCTGCTGCCGCCGCCGCTGCTGCCGCGCCGCCCGTGGGCCTCCATGTACCCCCCCATGTACGCCAGGTACTTCATGATGAGCTTGCTGGTCTCGGTCTTGCCGGCGCCCGACTCCCCCGACACCAGGATCGCCTGGCCGCTGCCCTCCTTGCGCATCTGCTTGTACGCCGCGTCCGCAATGGCGTACACGTGCGGTGACAGGTCCCCCAGGTCGGCGCCGCTGCGATGTTATGGTTTCAAGTTGAGGCGGTGCATCTCAGGCGGACGCAGCAGGGCGGAGGACCCCGTTCGGGTGCTTGCGGCTGCCGTCCGCGCCCGCAGCATGGTGCCGTAGACCACAAACATGCAAGCAGCGAGCGAGCACGGCATGCGCGCGTCGGCCGCCGCGGCCGCCCACCGGTACTGGTCCATCATGTGCGTGCCGTAGAGGTGCGGCAGGGGCGCGAACGGGTTGACCGCGATCAGGATGCTGCCCGTGTAGGTGTAGATCTCGTCAAACTGGAACCGCTGCCGCAGGTTCCACAGCACCCCAGGCTCGTGGAGGTACGACAGCGCCGTCATGTCCTTGAAGCGTGCATTGCAATGGTTTGAGGCATGGGTTGGCACGCATGGCAGAGTGCGGGAAGGAAGCACGGCTAGGGGTGGGGGCCCAGTCACTCAGGTGAGCTGGGCGGCAGGTAATGTGGTTGGCTCCGGGCAGCGTCCGTTCAAGGTGATGCGGCCGGCGCGCCGCTGCTCAATAGTGTTTCAAAACCTCCAAGTTACCACCTAACTACCCGGGCTTGCATGCGCTTCAGCAGGGGCAGCCAAGGGCGGCTGCCTCTGCGCAACGTAGCGCAGCGGCCAGTCCAATCCCGGGCCCCATGGCGCAGCGCCTCACCTCCACGCCCCTCGTGTCGTTGTTCTGGAGCGGAGCATCCTCTTGGCCGACCTTTCGCTGCTCGTTGCTTCCGTCCAGCGACACGATGAGCTGGTCCCCATCCAGCTTGATCACCTCCCCCTTCACCCAAGAGTCGCCATCCTTCGTCTTTATCCATACTTTGCTGCCCACTGTGTGTATCACCGCGCTGGGCTGCCGCGGCGCGGTCATGCTGGGCGACTTCCCAAGCTATGCTAATGCCCGCGGGCTCTGGGATGGCCCTTCGCGACCAGCAGCTCCCTCTGTGACCAATAAGTCCCACAGACGATTGGTGCGGGCTAGGAAACCCAGCCGCTGGGAGAAGCGTGTCAGGTAGCAAGCCGCTGGGCGTTGAAGAGAGGGCAGGTGCTCATGGCACTCTGCCAAACAGCTGAAATGCACTAGTATGATCTGATCGAGGCCCAATGGCCGCCGGGATTTTGCACAACCGCAGCTGGATCGGCCGGTGCTTGCAAGCAGTGCGGGGGGATGAGACTTTCCGCACTGCTTTCCCCGTGGCCTGTACATGAAGTGCACAGCTTCAATTGCTTTCATTCCTCATAATTGACACCCGGTTATCCTGATCGGATCTGCTCTCATCAATCTCGTCTCAGCCGTCCGCGCGCGGGGTTCCGTTAGCTTGCCATGCATGCACATAGAACGTCATGTAGGCCGCAGCCTATGTGCAGTACCACCGGCAGTGGCGTCGGGGCGGGTGTGCAGCTCAGCGCTAGGCGCATTTCAGCAGCAATGCGCCTGCAGCACCATCATCCGCGACCAGCACCGCACGCAGTGGCTGTCGATGCCGCCACCCAGGGCAACAGCAGCAGCAGCCTGGACCTGCGGCCACCCGTCATGATCAACAGCTGTACTGGTCGGGTGCGCCGTCCTCACGCGCGCCCCCGCGCATGGATGCTCCCCACTCCACCCCCTTCGCTCGTGCAGCGCCCGACTCCCGCCGCCGCCACCTTTGTCGCCTGCTACAAACTTAGTCGCCTTCCGCCGCCGCCCGCAGATGGGCCACTCCGCTGCGGAGGCGGTCGTGCGCGCGGGCCTGCAGCTCGTCCCCTTCACACTCACCGGCTTCTCGGCCGGCGTGGCGGTGTCGAATATCGGCATCAGCGGCATCCCTGTCGAGCTGGTCGGCAAGGAGCGGCGGCAGGAGGCCATGGATGTGGTGAAGGATCGGTACCCCGGCCTGGTAGTGGTTGACTACACCATGCCAAACTGCGTCAACGGTGGGCTCCTGTACATGCGCACGCAGATGGCTCGCCGCGGGAGCTCGCGTCCAGCCGTGGCCGGTTAGCGGCCGGCAGGGACGCGCCGTGCAGGTGCACGACACGGGGAAGGTGACAGCGGTGGTCTGGATCTGGGTAATTGCAGAGAAGCCGATTAGATTAGGCAAGGGGGCGGCGACCTGATGCTGGCGGAAGCCGAAACGCGTCGCGTGGTGCCGCCATCCCCTTGCAGACAACGCGGAGTTCTACGCGCGCAACGGCGTGCCGTTTGTCATGGGCACCACCGGCGGGGACAGGGCCAAGGTGGCGGCGGCGGCCGAGGCGGCCGGCGTGTATGCGGTCGTGGCGCCCCAGATGGGCAAGCAGGTGCGCAGGGCGCCTCCTCGGCAGAGCATGCTGGCCTGCGGTGCCGCGGCACACGTCTCAGCTGCGGTGCTGCTGCACCTCTCGCGGCGCCCCTGCCGCGCCGCAGCGCCCCTGCCGCCAGAGCCCTCCTTCCCCTGCCTCCGCCCGCTGGCGCCCTCGGCCCCCTCCGGCTGCCCCTCGAGCGACCTGCTTGTTTTCCACCACCCTCAACTTCCAGGTGGTCGCCTTCCAGGCGATGATGGAGGTCATGGCGCAGCAGTACCCTGGCGTGTTCACCGGCTACAGCCTCACCGTCACTGAGAGCCACCAGCGTAACAAGGCCGACGTCAGCGGCACGGCCAAGGCGGTGGTCGCGTCGCTGCGGCAGATGGGGGTCGAGGGCTTCAAGGACGTGAGCGGCTGGGGGCGGGGGACAGGAGGGCGGGCTCGGGTGGCGCCAGGGGCGGGCGCCACTGCTAATGCCAGGGCTTGCATGTTTAGGGGATTGTGCGGCGGCATATGGGCCTCTCAACTGGCGGCCTAGCGCCCACAAATTGATAGGTTTGCCTATCCTTTGTTGCCCTTCTTGCATTGGATGGAGTCGCCTCTGTCATGGACGATCCTCAATGTTGCCATTCCCCCATCTCCCACGCATGCCCGTGACACCAGTCTGACATCCGCAAGATACGCGACCGCGAGGGGCAGCTGCAGATGGGCGTCCCTGAGGACCATCTAGGGGGCCACGCATTCCACACGTACACTCTCACATCGCCAGATGGGTCTGTGCAGGTGGGCTTGCGTGCGGAGTATGAAGGGGGGGGGACCAGCAGACCCTGGGTGCGCGCAGCGTGCGCGCATCTTACGCCGTGAACTGTGCATCAACCCCTTTGATACGCTTGCCAATCAGCCTCATCCCCGCAAACTCTCATCAACTCCCCTAATTCAGTTCAAGTTTAAGCACAATGTGGTGGAGCGGTCCATTTACGCGGAGGGCACTGTGGATGCCGTGCTGTTTCTGGCCAAGAAGAGGGCGGAGGCTGCAAAAGAGAAGGTGTACAACATGGTGAGGCGTCTGCGGGTGCATCTACAGCCCAGGTGCTCAATGCTTGCGCCCACGGGCAGGCCCCAAGGTGCCTAGCGCCCCTGAGCGACCAGCTGTCAGACCGGCAGAAGATCAGATGTTTTGCGATGGGCCTATTGCTCCCCCTCACTGACTCTGCCGCAATGCTTGGTCTTCCATTATGACCCCGTTTCTATTGCAGGTGGATGTGTTGCTGGAGGGCTCCCTGAGATGAGATGAGCCGATCAACAGACACCTGGCGAAGCGCCATGCTAGGCACATGGGTAGTCATGGCAGGCAGCAACCAAAGGGCGCGAAACGGAGGTGGCTTCTGTAAGTGCATGAGCAGCTGGGCGCAATCTTTTCGTTAGCGAGTCCCGCATGTTGTTCCACATTTTGATCTACAGAGCGGGTCCCGTTGTGGGTGCGTCTCATAGTGCAGCTGCACGATGCATTTCTAGCCTGAATGGCAAACCATGTTTGATTTTGTGACACGGCTGCGTTTCTTTTGTACACTGGTGCAGTCGTTGTGTCTATTCTACACCATTTGAAATGTATCCCCTCTGGTCGTACCCAGCATGGAGCCCACACACCAAGTGCTAGCTTGCTGTGCTGCTGGCAAGCAGACCCAGTGCTTGTAACCTGCGACTGCGCATGACTTAAGACAGCTGACGGCACGGCTCAAGACAGCTGCTGAGCTTGTTTAGGACGGCGCTCTTTCCAGCAAGGCGGCACAAGGTGCAAAAGCTCGGGGTGATGGCCGGCAAGGATGCAGCAGCACTTGTCATCCGCCACAGCTCAGTCGGTCCGCGCAGATCAAAAGCAACGCCCAGCTGCGCCAGCCGCTGGGCGCTGGCGCTTTCTGCGTGAGGATGCACAGCTACAGAACAGGAGGCCGTGCAGGCTCCAAACCCTGCTGCCTGCCGAGCTTGCGACGCGAGTGACTTGGAAATTAAAATGGTGGTGTGATCGGGACATCACCAGGTGAACTTCGTTGGGCAGGCCCCTGATCGCGGCTTCATGAAGCTGGCGTCCACTGCAAACTCATACATACAGGAAGTACGCATACGTCATGCGTTGTCCAGGAAGCTGATGAAGCAGCGGTCAGCGTGCAGGACGCTGTATTGCAACTTAAATAGCACCGCACAAGCAGTCTTGCCCTTTTTCGGCATTTCACCCGCTGGGTCGTGAGGGAGTCAACAAGGGCGGCGCGGCACGAGTCACTTGGTCAATATATCAGCACTCCCATTCCGGCAGATCCCCACTCACAACCAGTTGCTGGTTGCACCATGCCTCGCAGCATCATCATCCTTGCTGGACCCAGTGATGCGCACGTGGTGCTGATGTTTGGTACACCCACAGCACATATATGTAGGACTCGGAGCCCCTGCTCCAACACGCACACAAAACTCACTGCGTCTCCAATCGATGCTTGCACAAGCCCCCCACAGGGGTGCATCCGTGCTACTCACTGCTCTGAAATTTGCATAGCATGTGCCACATAAATACGGATTGCTTGAATGTAGAAGCGAGCTGATTAATTTTGGCAAACAACTTTCAAACATCTAGCCATTTCAATCTCCCATCCTAAGCCTCCGTTCCACACCCCACTCTTCGGGTGTCTGGTGCAACCGTACAGCTGCTGCCGGCTGTCAATCGATCAAAAGACAATGCACCTTTGAGTTATGCCAGCGTTCGCATTGCCTGACAAAGGCTTGAAACCACGATGTAAGACTTGCATACCGCTCACATGTTCAAAAGGTGATTGGACATCCTTGGAAATTCTTGTGGGTCGCACCATTTGTGCCAGCAAGTCCATTACAGTAGGGATGAATAACCATGACGATGTATCCGCTGTGCCGAGGCGAAGGTACACATCACTACTTTGAAGACACCCCGTGCAACAAACAGGAAATGCCACTGTGCCTGGGTCAAATCATAACCTGAATGCAGGTGTCAAACAAAAGTAAACCACCAGCTGTCGTAGAAAGCCCGGATGGTGGAGAACTGAAATACTGGGTCACTTCCGCCATACAATCTGATTAACAAAGTTGGTACATCTTGCAGCCTCGATCCCCCGTCTCACACCAACGAGGAAATGTTATGCTCCACTGCGAAAAGTTACATTATTGTGCAAGCGCACAGCCTGTCCACCCCCCTGTGCATCGCCAGCCTGACGCGCCCGAAAGTGTTGTAGCGGGCAGCTGCTCCGGGATGCGCCGCGTGGTGGGCGCGCAGCTCAGCCTTGCGCACGGCTGCAGGGTGAGTTGCAAGGATGGGAGGGCGGAGATGGTGGTGAAGTGGGCGCCGGCCTTTTGAACTGCTAACTACCGTAAGTACCACACCCGTTCGTCACACCAGCCAACCCATGCCACACCAGCCAATGCCAGCTCTCGGAAACAGGATCCGCAAACCACCCACAGCGCGCAACTCATGCCTCTCACAGCGGCTCACCGTTCGTGCCCCGCTGCATCTTGTTCCCCAGGCCGAAGCCACGCGGGACGACCTCGTTCACATCCACGTCGTCGGGCACATCACCATTTGACGTGCCGGGGTAGCCTGGCGGCGGCGGAGGCGCCTGGCGCATGGGCGCCGCTGCAGCGGCATCGGGCGAGTAGCTCACACTCTGAAGCGCACCGTCGGCGCCAGGTGTGCTGGTCGCTGGGTATGCTATGGCCGACGGCACGGCAGGGTACTGCTCCTGCTGCGTACGAGCGTCCATTACTGCAGCGCAGGAGTAAGGGCAATACGAGAAGGATGGCAGCTCTCGGAAACAGGATCTGATTTTTGCGGCAACGGTGAAAACGCTCTGATGTGGTAGACCACGAGTGAATATTCAACATATGGTGGAATGGCAAGAATTTCAATGCGTCATGCATGCGTGAAGCGCTGGGTGGCTGAGTGGCAGGGCCCCACGACAAGGCAGCAGCTGCGACACCGGCGGCCTCAACAGACGGGCAACAGCAGCTACGATGTGCATGCGGCCCAGGGACGGTGCAATGTTGAAACCATCGACATAATTTTGGGCCGGCTTAGTCGAAGAACAGGTCTCCCACACGTACCGGTACACAGGCAGGCAACCACATGGGCGTCACAAGCAGAGTGCGACAGGAGCCCGCGCGCGTCGCCCCTGTCGAGATTTTGTGTTCATTCTGCAAGAAGCAATTGATTGCTTTAGCTGTCATGGCATGGCGCATGTGACACTAGTCAGTTGTGTATGGTCAGGTGTCTTGCATGCATGTTTCGTTGTTAGCGGGTGGTGGCAGTGGGCGCATGTGGGCATCCAATACGTGGGCTGTGACATCTGGCGCCTGCAGCGCTGCACGTGGTGTTGCCCTGAAGGCTTGCAATTACGGGCGGTGGTGTCACTACATGACAGCGCTGCCTGCATGAATTGAGTTTGTAGCGTCGCATGCTTGGGGTGCGCGTGGTTGCAGTGATTGGCGAAACATGTGCAGCTAGGCTTGATTTGCCTGCACATTGCCCACAGCACATTGATGGGGGTCTATCCACCCTGTGTCTCGCCCACAACATGGGTACCGTGATGCTGTTGATCATTGTAATGATCAACAGCATCACGGTACCCATGTTGTGGGCGAGACGCATGAGCATCCAAATGTACTTGGATGTTGATGCTTTGATGAGTGAGGGTTTGGCACACGTGGGTTTTGGCATGTGTTGGTTGAATTTTGGCATGGACTGCCTGCGTCAACACAGCCGATCACTAAGCAAATGAGTTGCAAGGCACATGCGTCGAAGGTGGAAGCAGAGTCATAAGGCTGCAGGGGGCAATCAAAAGGAGGCAAGTCACGAGGCAAGTGACCATGCATGTGACCCCCACTGATGACCACACCGTTTCCAAAGGCGGTTGTCCTACATGCATACGTGCACATGAGGTGATTGTGTGTGCAAACGTCTCGACGATGCGGCATGTAGCGGACCGCACGGCAGATCTTGATGCTGTTGTAAATTAGACATGTGTAACGGGAACTTGATCACGGCAATGAAAACAGGCTGTTTGTGGCACCGGTGATCATACGCTGGCAACTCGGCCACGTGGCGGCAAGCGCGTCGCAACGCGCTCCATCGCCGATCGCGCTCTACGTGCCCCCGGCAGCCCAATAGGCGGGCATTATGGGGGATTACATACAGCGCTGCCTGCAGGTAGCGCAGGCCGGCGACGCCGACGGTCTGGCGCAGCAGCTGGATAAATTTGCCCAAGCATTGCAGCAGCCTGGTGCACGGCGCGAATGGCGAGCCAGCCTCGGCTGCAGCCTGGCGGGCGTGCTATGGGTGGCAATCGTCCAAGGAAAGCGGGGGGGTTCATGGGCGTCGCAGGACTGGGGCGTCCAAGGGGCGGCGGTTTGATGCGCGCCAAGGGCCACCGTGTTGCGGGCCCCGTGTTACAGACGGGACCAAACGCACAACGCACAGCTCTTGCGCCAAACACACCTGCTGCGCACGCAACTACTATGGCACCCTCCGGTTCCCCCCGCCGCTCCCTCGCGGCCACGCAGGCGGGGTGCTGCCGCCGCTGCAGCCGCTGGCCGACCTGGTGTCGCAGGCCGGCGGTGACGTGCTGACTGTGTCGCTGCACCGCCTGGCCGACCCCCGGGACCCTGCCACCACCCTGCTCGACAAACTGCTGCTGTGAGTGGCCAGGCCTGGGCACCTTCCAGAGTGGTGGGGTTATACTGAGACCTTGTCACGGTGCCAGCAGCGGCGCCTTGAGCTCCCTTGAGTGGCTGGTGACTGTGCCAGTCCGCAACCGAAGCGACGACGGCGGCGTGGATAGAGAAGGCAGCGCGTGGCGCGCCGGCCTGCAGCCACGGGAGCCTGCCGCATCTGAGCAGCTGACTGACGTGTTTCTTCACGCGCCCGCCCGCGCCCTGCACGCTTCGCCTCCAAAAGGCGCCGGCGCTTCGAGCTTCTGGGGAAGTGCATGGCGGCGGACGCGGCCCTCGGCCACGCCGCGCTGCTGCGCATGACCACGTCCGGCGCCTCGGCTGCCCACGTGCGCACCGCCCTCGCGTCGCTGGCGGCCTCCGACGCCGCGGCCGGCTGCACCGCCGTGGCGGAGCGCTCGCGCACGCGGGGCATGGGGTGGCCGCTGTGGCCGCCAAGCGAGTGGGCCGGCGTCGCCGCGAGCGCGACGCCCCCAAACAAGGCGCAGTGCTGCCTGTGGCAGGCGCTTGAGCATTGCAGCATGGAGGTTTTTGAGGAGGTGGGCACCACGCTCGTCGCGTCAGCGACGGACGCGGCCGTGGGGTCAGTCCCACAGCCGTGCTGGGGGTGCATGCCGCGCAACCCGCCTGCGCTTGCGCCTAAGTAGGCTCAGGCCGGCTTGCCCTTCTGGGGACTTTGAAGCGCCCACCTCCATCATCCACATGCTCTACTAGCCCTCCTCAAATCCGTCATACATGCGGACGACTGCTCCCGCCCAAACGACTGCTCCGCCGTTCGCCCTGCGGCGCTGCCCGCCGCCCGCCCGCGCCTGCAGCTGGTGACGTACCCGGGGTTTGACCTCATGGCGATCTACCCCGACGGCTCGACGCTGCTGCACCGCTGCGCTGAGTTGCTAGCGGAGGGGCGCCACGCGGACGCCGGCGAGAAGGCGGCGCGACTCGTGCAGCGCGCGCATGTGCAGCCGGCGAGGCCGCAGGACTTTGTGGCACGGCATCAGCAGCAGCAGCACCAGCAGCAGCAGCAGGGGGGGGTCGGTCGCGGGCGAGGACGAGAGTCTCTCTGGGGCCACCTCGCCCCAGCATTTGGACGACACAGGGCCGAGCACCAGCAGTGGCATGCCCGCCGATCGCTGGACCGGGGCCAGGTGGGCTCCTCTGTGAGCCCACTGTGCGGGTTTTCGGGCCTCTGGGACTTTGAATGGCCTGGGGCTGTTGATTTGGGTCCGTGGGCCTGGTGAGCATGCACGCTGCCAACCTGCCCCACTTCACAAAGCAGCGCGCCCGCAGCCATGAGCTGTTCCGCTTGCCCACCTCCCCCTCATCCTTTCGTCTCATCATCTCTCGCCCTGCTCATGGCCTGCACCCTCCACCCACCCAAGGCCGCCCTGGGTGGGGGTTACTCAAGAAGAGCTGTGGCTAGATGCCCTATGGGAGAAGAGGACGGCGCTCTCTATGGTGCGCGCAGCGCTGCAGCGCCACCTTGACCCTGGCCTCGCACGCGGAGGCAGGGTCGATCGGCCTACCATTCGCGACTGTGCCGCTCGTTGGCGTTCGTGCAAGGCTCAAACGACCACGCCCGCACCTGTGTCGCGCCGCTCGGGGCAATACCTTGCAGCAACATTCCGGGAACGCCGCAAAACATCAACGACCACTGCCTCGCCGCGTCGCAGCTGGTGGACGGCATGTTCCATCAGGAGCGGCTGGATGCGCGCCAGCTGGACGCAAAACGGCGCCTGGAGCGGGCAAAGGAGAGCGAGCAGATGGGGCGCCACAAGTACAGGCGCAACAAGAAGAGCCGCCTGCAGAAGGCCGCGGCCAGCGTGGGCGGGGCGCTGGGCGGGGCGCTGGGCGCGGCGGGCGCGGCGGTGGGGGGCGCCGTCGGCGCGGCGGTCAGCGGCGCGGTAGGCGGGGCGATGAGGGGGCTGTTTGGTGGAGGGGAGGGCTCGCAGGCCGGGGGCAAAGACAATGACGAGGAGGCGGATGAAGAGGGCAGCAGCGAAGAGGGCAGCAGCAGCAGCAGCGAGAGCAGCAGCAGCGATGACGCCATCAGTGAGGACAGCGAGGGGGGCGACGCGTCTGGCGAAGGGGCGGGGGCCGATGAGGGCCCCGGCAAGGGTGGCGCCAGCACCAGCGGCGAAGACGCGGGCCAGGCGGCGGAGTCAACAGAGCCCGGCGCCGGCGCGGCGGCTGGGTCCAAGCCGAAATATGTGCAGCTGTCTTATGCGACGGTGAGACCATGATTGCAGCAGGGCTTGCTTGTATCTCGCGGCGCTATTGACCTAACCACCGTCTTGGCCCGTGCTGTGGTGCATACGGTGCCTAATGCTGCCGCTCCCTCAACCTGACCCCACCCCCAGCGCCTTATCCCGCCACCTCCGCCAGTCCTGCGCCGCGCCGTCCCCTCGCGACACGCCGCATCCCACCTCCCTCTCCCCCCGGTGCCCCCAGTGCGCGGTGCGCTGCCGCGAGGCCGCCGTGGCGCTGCTCAAGGCGGGCGCGGACCCGCTGGTGGTGACGCTGCCAGGGGCGGCGACCCTCAAGGCGCAGGGGCTCTTGCAGTCGGAGAACGCCGTGGCCGCGGAGAGCGCAACCCTGTACAACCGCATGTCTGCGTGGGTCAGCAAGAAGGTAGGCGGGGGGTTGACTGGAAAGGGGGGGGGGCGATTGCATGGGTGAGGGGCAGCGTGGGGCAGCGACATAGTGGGCGGAGGCGTGACCGGGAGGGGGGCGGGTGCACGGGTGAAGGGTGTGTGGGGCAGTGAGATGTCGGGCAACGGCCGGCTGTGACGTGCGGGGTCGGACGAGTGAGCGGCGCGGGCGGACGATGCATGGGCTAACCTCAGTATGGGAGCAGGTTTGACTGCGACGTGTTGGGGTGCTTGGGTGAGTCGTGTGAGGGCAAGCTGTGCTGATTATGGGCGACGAAGGCGCATGAGCTGATTGGCGGATACATGGGGGGGACCCGTGCACAGGCCAGCGAGATGGAGGACAGGGTACGATTGATCGATTACCCGTGGCCCGTCTCGCACGCAGTGCTAGTGCTGGGGTCCAACCGCAGGCCGCTGCCCGCTGTGAAACGCCCGCACGAGCCTGCAAGCTGGCGAGCCCCTCTCTCATTCCCCCGCCGTCCCCACTGCACCACCGTGACCCGCCAGGTTGTGCGCACCGGCGGCAAGGTGGGGTCCAACGTGCTGCTGCTGCAGGAGGGCGACAGCCAGGAGACGTGCGTGCTGGACGCGCTGGTGGCCGATCCAGAAGACAGAGTGGTCAAGGACAAGAAGGTGGGGGGAAGCTGTTGGGGGAGGTTTCGTGGGCGGGTTTTTTTATAAGTTTTTTGATGAGTTCTTGGAGAAAGTCTGGAGGGGAGTGTGACGGATGAGAGTGCGCTTCGGGAAGGGGGTTGCGTTGCGGTGTAATGGAGAAACGAGGCGCGCGCCCAGGGGTGGGGGCAGGGGAAGTGTAAAAGGGTGGTGTGATTGTGTGCGGGTGTGTGTGCGTTGGTGCGTGCACGTTCATGCATATGTGTGCGTGCGTGTGCGTGCGTGAGTGTGTGTGTGTGTATACGTGCGCGTGTAAGGGGCATGGAAGGGTTGAGGCATGGGCGCTGAGTCTGTTGCTGTGGGGAGTGAATGAGACGGTCGTTTTGTGTCCGTTGCTGGGCCCCACGTGTGTATGAGTTTGCATGCATGGGTTTCCGCTGGCGTGTGCTCTGGAAGGCACCAGCACGCTGCTGATCTGCAGAGCCATCCGCATGAAGCCATACATTACAGCTTGGTCAAAGTGCCAACAAGACAACCGCGACTCCAACCACCCCGGCTCGCACCCGCTCCATCCTCGCCTCAAACCCCCAACCGCCCACCAGGCTGAGAAGAGGGCGGAGAAGAAGGCGCTGGAAAAGGAGGCCAACTGGCAGCGCAAGGTGCGGCGGCGACCCCACAGCAAAGCTTGAGCAGGCAGCGAAGAGGGAATTGTGGACCGTGGGGTTCCCGAGTCCTCTAGCTATGCTGCTCCTGCAGCGCGCCCCATCTGCACACATTCGCAGCACGCGACCAGCGGACCCTCGCTCCCAGCCCTGTAGCTGGCTGCGTTGAGCAGTCCGCCGGCTAGCTGAGCGACTGGACAACCAGCCAATCGCGCGGTCGTTGTGATTGCTACATTGCCACATCAACATCAGGTGGCTGACATCCAAAAGAATTCACAACACCAGCATTTCAGGGCCGGTGACCTGGGGCACGGCGGCCTGTCCAAGGTATTGGAGTCCAAGGAAAAGATCGAGGTGCGGCTGTGGGCGGGCTGGGCCAAAAGTGGCGGCCCTGGTGTGAAATTTGGGTTCTGACAATGGCTCTAACCTGGGGTATGCGAAGAGCGGCTTGCCTGCCAGCACAGCGAGGCCGGCCATGGAGGCAGACGGCGGGCGCCCCCAGGCGCACCTGTGTCCGCGCGCCTTTGCTCCGAGCCCCGCCCCGCTGTGGTTCGCGCGCCGCGCGCCTCCCCCAGTCGTCCAGGTTTGTGGCCAACGATCTCGAGGCGGCGGCGCTGCACGGAGCCGTGCGGCGGGCGTGGCGCGACCGCGTGAAGTGCTCCCGCCTGAAGTTGCGGCTCATGAGGTGAGCCATGAGCAGGGGTGCGGGGCGCGGCGGCGGGTGAGTGGGGGGGTAGGGCGAGGGGGAGGATGGACGGGCCGAGCTTGTGGGTTGGCGCTAGGGTAGCCGGCCGAGGAGAGGGGAGAGAGGGTGTGTGCTTATGCACGAGTGCGTTCCAAGAAGATGCAACTGCAACCACTGCTGCCGTATCGTGCGGCGTACATGAACACACACGCGCACACACACATGCGCACACACACACACGCGCACACACAAACACACGCACGCATGTGCATGCATGCACGCACGCACACACGCACACACACACACACACACACACACGCACACACCAGTACACACCACACAGACTCGGTCCTGCCCACTCCCACACAAACATCTCTTGTGCACACGTGCATCACACGCAAACACACTGACCTCCCCCTGTCACACACACACACACACGCACACACACACACACACGCACACAGACACACACACACACTCACACACACACACACACACGCACCTTGCCCAGGCACATGAAGCCCAAGGTGGCGGAGTACCTGGCTGAGAACCTGCTCGACCCAAAGGACGACCCGCTGCCAGGGGCACTGGCCAGACAGGTGCGCGCCAGGGCCCAGCACAGCCTTTCAAGGCATCGCGGGCGCACCGCCATTGTCGAGACCGAGACGGATCCCGAGAGCTGGGTCACATGCCGGGCCGCGATGGTGCATGTGCTGCGAGGCGGGCGGTGTGGGGCTCGAGAGCGTCGACGACAAGGGGCCCGGAGCGCCTCCGGCGCGGCCGGCTGCGTGCATGCGCGAGGCCACCCGGCTGCTGAGCGCCACGTGTGCCACGCACCCCCCAATGCCCGCCCTTCGCGGCCGGCCCGCGTCGCGTCGCAAGGGGTTCGAGCCGCCCCTGATCACTGAGCTTCGGGGCATCAGCCCCGATCCGGCCCGTGTCAAGGTGGGGCAAGCCTCGCGCCTTCGCGTGGCTAGGAGAAGCACGCGCGCGAGCCCGAGGCTGGGATCTTGCGTCTGCAATGCTAGGACATGGGCAGCGGCTGCAGGCAGTTGGGCCGCCCACAGGCAGCCCCTGACCGTGACGACCGTCCTTTGAATCAACTGTGTCCTGATTCCACCCCTCTTGAGCTGCAATCCACCATTTGTGACGGCGCTGCCGATCTGCGGTTCGCCAATCGCGAGCTCGCTGCCGATCTGCGGCCCACCAATCGCGACCCCCGCAGTACCTGATCGGCCGCCTGATGCACAGCGAGCGCGACGACCCGCGGCCGCACAGCAACCCCCTGTGGGTCGCCCTCGGCTGCCAGGCCGCGTGCGCCCCCCAGATCGTGTCCGAGGTTGCGGCCTCGAGCGACCTGTCGACGCCGCTGCTGGCGGCCGGCGGCGTCGCACGCCCGGGCACCGCGCTGCACCACTGCCTTCGCCAGCGCCCCGCCGCGCTTGGGACGCTTCTGGCGGCGCTGCCGCGCGTGCGGCGCGCGCACGACGCGCGGCGCCGCGCGGCGGCGCTGGATGCTGGGCGCGATGGCGGGTGCGGAGGGGAGACGCCGCTGATGCTCGCGCTCAGGACGGGCCAGATTGGCGCATTCAGATTACTCGTATCTGCAGGGGCGGACCCGCTTGCGCCGAGTTTGGTCTGTATATCCGAGGATACAAATCATGAGGACAGCGGCGCCGACAGCAGCGGCGTCAACAACGGCGTTGCGGCGGCGTCTGCACAGGCGTGTGACCTGCAGGCGGCCGCGGCGGCCGGGCCGCCGCCGCGGCGCAGCACCCCGATGCACGAGCTGCTGTACACAATGCACTGCGCGACGCTCCCGCCCGACGCGCCGGCGCCGTCGCCACGCCCGGCGCTGGACGGCCGCGCCGCCGACGCCGCCGACGCCGCGCGCCGTGCGGAGCACCAGGATCCCGTGGCGTGGGCGCACGCTGGCGCGGATGATGTCGACAGCGACGGCAGGGTCGATTGGTATGGCGCCGTGACGCACGTGCTAGGGGTGCTAGAGGAGACTGCGGGGCTGAGCGAGCGCCTGGCGATGACTCATGATGACGAAGGTGGGAGCAACCATGTGTCCAAACAAGTACGCGTGTGTGTGAGGGCGGGGGCCGCGCTGTGCGGGGGAGGGGGTGCGTGCTGGCTCTCGCTTGCGCGCATGCTGGTGTGTGCATGCGCATGTTTGTGTGGCATGCGCGCTAAACATGCCTGCTGGTCAATCCCCGCAAGTCTGGGCGTACACTGCACCGCACAATTCAGTAACGAGGCTGCTGTCATCGCTCTCAATCGTCAACAGTGATCCCTGCCTCTCCTGCATACACCTCCGTGACCTGCAGTCCAGGTCAGCATTTCACACATGCTTCATCCAATCCACCCCAAACCCCTGGTCGAACCCCGCATCACTCAATTCGACCGCAGGCAACAACCTGCTGCTCTTCTGCCTGGTGCGCGCCACCTCAGCGCGCGACTTCATGACCCCCTGGCTGCTGCGCCACGGCTGCCCCTTCACGCGCCGCAACGCGGCGGGCGAGTCGCCGCTGGGCGTGTGCCTGGCCCTCAGGGGGTCCCTGCGGGAGGCAAAGAGGTGGCTGCACGAGATGATGACTGCGTGGAGCCGGCAGGTGAGCGGGCATAGACGGCATGTGCGAGCCCTTGACAGGATGGGATCGGTGTCATGCTGCTGCATTTCGTTTTTTTGCAAGCTTGGCTCGCATGCATCTCCAGCATGTGTGGCGATTGGAATGCGCAGGCTTGAGAGTCACCTGCGCATGTTGAAGCCTGTAGCCTGAGTCTCGTGCTGCGCATTGCGCCCCAAACACACACACACACACACACACACACACACACACACACACACACACACACACACACACACACACACACACACACATTCTCACACTTACATGCACATACACACGTGCGCGTGCATTGGCGCGCCCCCCGCAGGCCCTGCTTGAGGTCCTGCCCCCCTCCAACATCACCCTGGAAGACCGCGCCGCCACGCTCACGTTCCTGGAGACCAATTCGGCGATAACGCTGGTGCCATATGCAACAGACTTGGAGGTTCATGAGGAGCTGCTCAGGCGGCGCAGCACTGTGGGTGGTGACTCATCACGCGCGCGCGCGCGTGCGTGTGCATGGGCAAAGCTGTACACACGTGCTTTGCGATTGACAGCGTGCCTTGCAAGCGCGCTTTTGCGCCTGTGTCTTGGACTGATGAGTAGCGCAGATGTTTGTTGTTGATTGTACAACGCAGCTCGCGCCCTGGCTAGGCTTGCGGCAGCAGGCTGAGTCCTCTGAGCGGCCCAGCCAGCGCCCCATTTTGGGCTCACTGTCTGTGTGTCTTTTTGAATCCAACCTATCCCACCGTGCTTTTGCTCCTTCTCCCTCCGCCGTCAAACAGGACCTGTCAATCCTGCTGCTGCAGCACGCGCAGCGCCTGGGGGCCGCATCCCTCTTCGCCGAAGCGCCCCTGCAGGACGCCGCCGGCGCCCTCACGCCCCGCCAGGCGGAGCTGCTGCTGCAGCTCGGCTGGGACGTCAGCCGCAGCCACGGCGGCCGTAATGCGCTGCACGCGGCGCTGGCGGGGCCCGCGTGGGCGGAGGACGCCGCGGTTGCGGCGGAGGCGTACGCGGTGCTGCTACGCACGGCGCCGGGCGACGCATTGCTGGCCCAAGACAAGCGAAAGGGGCCCGCGGCCGGCTCAGCAACAGGCGCGGGCGCGGCGGCGGCGGGCCCGGTGCGGGCGACGCTGTCAACCCCGCTGCACCTGCTGGCCTCGACGCCGGGCGCGGGCGCGGAACCGCGGCGGGCATTGCTGGTGGAGATGCTGGGGCGGTGCGTGGAGCAGGCCCCGAAGGTGTTTTGGCTGACGGACTTTTGGAAGCGCACGCCGGCGCAGGTGAGGGGGGCAGGCGCAGGTTCGGGCCAACCACACAGCTGTGAGATGCAGTGAAACGCAGGACCGGAGAGCGCGCGTCGCCCGCGGGCGGTGCGTTCGTGTCCACGGTGACGGGCAAGCCGGCGGGTCTGTTGGCGCAGCGGGTCGGCGCCTGGGCGCCCGCCGCCCGCCTTGCGGCGTTCGCTGGTTGCTCGCTTTTCTCTTGAAACATGTGTTCCCGCGGCATCGCATTTGTTGTTGGATTCCAGGTCGCAGAGCCAGGGGAGGCGCAGCGCTTCGTGCGCGAGGCGCAGGACCAGGCAGAGCAGAAGCTGGACAGGCGGCGCGACGAGGAGGGCGCCGCCGCCGCGGACGCCGCCGCGTTCGCGCACGCGCACGCGCTCGCCGCGCCCGTGCGGCCGCCGGCGTCGGTTGAGGAAGCGCTAGAGCTGCTGCGGTCGCTGCCCGCGTCGCGGCCGGCGGAGGAGGCGCCGGGGGCCGCGGCGGCCGG